AGGGTGCTCTGAAGCTCAGCTCACCCTGGTCTCCACAGAAGGAGGGAGTCACCCTCCTCTGGGCCCCTGAATTCTAATTCCTTCTTTCCAAAGCGAAAAACAGGTGTCTCGGTCTCTGAGCAATTGGTCGGATTCTAGGGATCCCAGAGCAAGGCCACGATGTCAAAGGCGGGGGAAGACGCCACCTGCACCTCCTACTGGGGAGAAACATAAGTGAAGTAATTAACCTCTCTTTGGTAAAAAGTTCAGGTTCTCTGGTTCACAACTCATGTATTTATTTATTTATTTATTCAATAAACCTTTCTTGGGCTTCTCCCAGGCCAGGGGGTCTAGGGTCTGCAGGTAAGAGGTGGTGAGTGGGCGGGTGAGCCTTGGACTTGGCATTATAGAGGAACTGCCCTGTAGAGATGTAACCGAATCCATGTGTAACTTTCTGTTTTCTAGGAGACACGTTGAAGGATGGGAAAAGATACCGGTGACAGTAAGTTTAAGAATTTTTTATGTGATATGTTAACTGGAAAAAAAAAAAAAAGCAAGGTGAGAGGAAACAAGTGCTGATTTGCGATTCAAAAGAATAGCTCTTCCAGAAGCACTGTTTTAGGCAGAAACTCGGTTAGGGCGTCTATTCAGAGCTGAAGGTCAGGGGTATTTGTGAGAAAGGGAAGGGGGGTAACTACCTGAAGAGAAGAAAGACATTTCTATGGGTGTTAACAAGCTAAGGAAGGAATTTCTACAGATGCAGATAAGCTAACATAGTGATATTTATTCTAAAGAATGTAATCAATTTGTAGTTCTGTAGTTATGACCTCTGCTTCCCTGTTTTGAACCTGAGGAAGAAAATATCTGCCAAGAAGGACTTCTTGTGGTTGGTTGGGCCCAAGTTTAAAACTGGATGCCAGCAGCTGCTGTGGCAGAGGCCTCTAATGCACACTGCACATGGGAGAAACGCACAGGCTGAGCTGTCAGCCTGCGCACTGTGCTCCTGCATTGTGAGGCAGCCCTTGGATTGAAATTCAGCCAATGGATCTGAGACTCTCCTGTCCAACTTGACACTGCAGCTATATCCTCACTTGTATCTTTACTGACCAATCAGAGCTGCTCTGTTCTGACCAATCAGGGGTGTGCTATTTGGACCAAACAAATCGTGAGGATGTGGAGTCCTCAACTGCAAAGCAATGGACCAGTCAGGGACGGGGTATGGGCATTAGCCTCTACATAAGCCAGCATCACCTTTGTCTCCGTGGAGCACACCTTCAGTTTTCGGAAGACTGATTCCCAAGCTAGAGCTCTAACGCCAGAACCTTAATACTGAGGCCACCTCACCCGGGCTACCTTCTCAGAGTTGTTCCAAAATCCTGCCCTTCCAAACTAGACACACACACACACACACAAAGACAGAGAGGACCCAAATAAAATCAGAAATGAAAGTGAAAGAGGAGAGGTGACAACTGACACCGGAGAAATAAAGAGGATTGTAAAGAAATATGAACAACTATATGCCACCAAACTAGACAATCTGGATGAAATGGATAAATTCCCAGAAACATACAATCTTTCAAAACTGATTCAGGAAGAATCAGGAAATCTGAATAGACAGATTAAAACTAATGACATTTAAGCAGTAATCAAAAAACTCCCAACCAACAAAAGTCCTGCACCAGATGACTTCATAGGTGAATTTTACGAAAAATTCCAAGAGGAACTAACATTTAACCTTCTCAAATTATTCCAAAAAGTATTCAAGAGAAGGGAAATCTCCCAAGGTCATTTTACAAGCCCAGCATTATCCTAATTCCAAAACCAGATAAAGATACTACAAAGAAAAAATTATAGGCCAATATCCCTGATAAATATAGATGCTAAAGTCCTCAACAAAATATTAGCAAATTGGATCCAGCAATACATTGAAAAGATCATACATCGTAATCAAGTGTGATTTACTGCAAGGATGCAAGGCTGGTACAATATCTGCAAATCAATAAATGTGATACACCACATAAACAAAATGACAGATAAAAACCACCTTATTAGTAGCTCACTTGGTTAGCGCATCATCCCAATAAGCCAAGGTTATGGGTTCGATCTCCAGTCAGGGCACATACAAAAATGAACCAATGAATGCATAAATGGTGCTGGGGAAATTGGATGGATACATCCAAAAGGTGAAACTAGACCACCTTCTCACACCGCATACAAGAATGATCTCAACACGGGTTAAAGACTGAAATGTTAGACTCAAAACCATAAAAATCCTAGAAGAAATCATAGGCAGTAAAGTATCAGACATTTCTCATAACAATATTTTTTTCTGATATATCACCTTAGGCAAGGGAAACTAAAGAAAAATATAAAGATACAGAGTGATTGGTGAGTACAAGTTTATTTGCTTCTGACTATATATAGTGTGGATGAAAAGGGGTCACATATTAAACCTGACAAGCTCAGGAAAGGCCTGCATGGTGACCTTATGAACTCAGAGACCTAAAGTAACCACATAGGATGGTCTGAAATTAAAACTTTTTAACTAAAAGCAGTTTATGGTGGGTAGTCATGTCCCAGGCTGGTATCTTCCCTGACAAAGGTCAACCTTTACCTTAACTGAGCCTGTCTATTGTCTTTTTGCATCTATGATAACATAACCATTGGAATGTCAAGGTAACGTCCCTTTTTCCAGAACCCAGAGGGCACAGCCAGTGCACCAGGGCAGAGATCACAAATTATCTCACTGTTACTGTTATTGAGTTAATTGTTGACTAGTAACTATCCTGTATGCACCTATGAAAAAGAAGCCTGTGTCTATCATTTTACCTTTTATCCGATCCCAGAGATTTCCCCTGCTTTGCTTTCTCCTGCCTCTCTAATCTATCACCAATGGATTTCATGTAACCCACACACATCTTCCGTTTGATTGTAATGTATAAAATAAGATGCAAAACTGCCATCCTCTGGAGCATTTTCTCAGTTTGATGAGATTTTGTTTTCCAGCATTTGTCAACAGTTTGGCTCAAATAAATTCACAAAAATTCTCTAAAGGTTTGAATGTGTCTTACGTTGACATTTGTATTTTATATGTTACAGGTCCTCATTCTGACTCCCCTGTTCTGCTGACCAGATTCCCATGGCTGGATAAGTGTTCAAGGACTGCGTAGAGATGTGAGGTTAAGGGATCTGCAGTAGAGAGGGTCATCCTGTGAATATGTGAGTTTCTTCCTAAAGCCACCACTACAGCACTAAATAAAACTCCCTGTCTCTCTGAGGCTGTGAGAATGGGTGGGAAGAGGGTAATGCTGCGAGCTAAGGAAATGGAGTGACCTTGATGGGGTGAGAGTGGGAACAAAGGGATGGAGGCAGGGAAATGAATATTTTTTAGGTAACCTCTGCTTTCCCAGCGTCTACCAGGTTCTTTCCTACGTGCTTCCTCAGTTAACTTCAAGACAATTCTGGGAAACATAACTCCTGTGTCATTCATATCAAAACAGAGATTAGAAAAGTTCAGTACAGGCCGGCCTCGTGACTCAGTGGTTGAGTGTCAACCCCATGAACCTGGAGGTCACAGTTCAATTCCCGATCAGGGCACATGCATGCATGCGTGTGTGTGTGTTGTGAGCTTGATCCCCAGTGGGGGGTGTGCAGGAGGCAGCTGATCAATGACTCTCATTGTTGATGTTTCTCTCTCTTTCTCTCCCTCTGCCTTCCTCTCTCTGAAATCAATAAAAACATACTTAAAAAACCCCCAAAAGGCCAGTACATCCTCCACACGCATTCAATCAAAAAAAGGATATGAACCAAAGCTGTTTCCTTTCTGTGAAAATGGGAAGTGGGCTGGGTGTGGAGAAGATGGGGGTCTAGAAAGTGATGGGTGAGGCCGAACAGGGAACAGAAAGGGCATGAACAGCGTCGAGCTGGGGAACCATGAGCACACAGATCTGCGTGCAAGCTGGGAGGGGGCACCAGTGTTTGCTCTCCAGCGAGGGCACAGATGCCATGCGAGTCATCAGGCTTATCACTACTGATAAGCACCTAGTCCTGCATTTGTTTATGAAACCTCTGACTTGCACTTGGTTCTCAGTAATGTGCAGTAATTCCAGTGCCAAAGATCCACACGAGAGCTCAGTAAGTTACAAAACACACTCAAGCTTTCGGTGCTGATACTTTAAGAAGAAAACAGTGAACACAGATAACACATTTTATAATGATAGGATCCTTTGTGAGTATGGAGAGGCTGACCTGAAGGAGTTGATTAAAACAAAACAAGTAATTTATTGGAGAAAAGGGTCTTCTCTCAATTTTGCAATAGTTTGGGGTTTCTAAAACTGATTTCTTAAGTAGTCTGAGTTCTCAATATTTACCTGGCCTTTCTCATTAACTGGTCTTGTTATAGGCACCTGAAATCCAGAAAAGGTGTTATCAGGCAGCCCCCTGAGTCGGAGGGAGAGGGCTGTCCCCTCCTTGGCTCTTGTCAGTCTTGTAGAAAAGACTTCAAAGGAGTGACATTGAATTGCATTGTGATAAGTCCAGTTTATTAAAGTAGTAAAAACACAAGTAAATTTATTAAAGAAGCAAGGCAAGTAAATTTATCAAAAATACACCTGGCTTATGGAGCACAGACAGGCTCTCAGCCCGAGGACTGAGCCTACGGGGGTTCAAAGGTGCCCGGTGTACATCAGGGAGGGGCTTGTAGGTCTGTCCCGACCACGACCCCACCTATCCTGCGCGGGCGCGTGATGGTGGCCTTATGTAATGATGATCCAGAGAATGCCACTGAGCGTGCGACATTGGCGCACTGCTGCTGTGGTCTCTGCAACCAGCGCTGTGCACTATAAAGGGGGGATCGTTCTCTGGATTGGCTCTGCGGCCTTCTTCACAGGAGGGATCTCGCCTCCGAAACACCCCTTGCAGCCTCCCTCCCCCGACAAAAGGGTTTTACACTTTCCTGTCTACAGGTTTCAAGATTCTTCTGCCAGATACCTTGGTACAGACTAACTCTCAAGGTCTCCCTTTTCCTTTGTTAGGGCTTTCCCAAAATTTAGGAGAAACACCTGGTGACTTTATCTCGCCAGGCCTGGAGACTGCTGGCTTCTCTGTTTAGTGAGCGGGATAAATACTCCCCCTTCTCTCCCCCTTTCCCCAAGACGGCTGACTTCTTTGTTTAGCAGGTGAGATAAAACTCTCCCTTCTTTCCTTCCCCCTTCCTCCCTCCTGCCTTAGCAGTCCCAGGGTGATTTAAGCTCTGTATTCTCTGGTTAGGGAGGAGAGACATTAACCAATTGTTCTCAAGCCTCCTTGGCTGGGGAAGATAAAGACCTGCTATTTACACGCTGCCTAAACTGTTTGGCCTTGTAAAATTATCTTGTCTCAGTTTCCCTATTGCTCTTGTCCAGGAATTCTCCTGGCTTCTTGCTACCCTGTTACAGTCTGGATAAATTTGAGCTTTCTGCCTTCCAGAATTTAAATGTCTCCTTGTGAAACAGAAGAGGGTAGAATAAAGGGTTGTATTGCCTGCCAACTCTCTTGTACTTCAAGCTAAGTGGCAGAGATCTCAGGTTTGCTGATGTTGCTATTTGACTTGATAGGGAGGGAGTGATGGGGTGCGATGGCTTGAATACTATGACTTATAGTTTGATTGTATAACTAGTTGTGCTTATTTCATAGTATGATGTCTGCCATTTTGTTAAAAGTTTGCCCTTTCCAGACCCATTGTGTTCCCTTTGAATTCAGCAGACTGGCTTATGGTTGGATGCAAACACTCAGGGCGATAAGAACAGTCATAAATCTAGAGGCACAGAACAGTCAGAGGCATGTGCTGACCACAAGACTCACATACCGTTTTGTCGTTCATCGCCGGATTGGTCAAGAACAACAGCTGATGTCTGCGGACCTCTGGGGCTGCACGTAGCTGCATTCTGTTCCCAGCCTTCACTCACCCCATCCCCCTTTCTAACCCCATCCCTGGCACCATGCTGTGAGACAGGTTTTGGCCACTTGTAAGGCCCCTGTCTTCTTGCTTGGCTGGCCTTCTCAATAAACCCCTTATATGATTCAACCGCGCCTCTGTTGAATTGGACACAGTGACAGGCCGCACAAACCCAACTGGGGATTCCGGTAACAGGAGCAGCACCTGGAGCAGGTTGGAAAGGGCCTTCCCTGCACTGCAAGGGCTCGAATATGATGCTCGGTCTGGGGATCAGTTCTGGAATTGGTTAAATACACAACCTTCTCGTAATATGATGGCCAGGTCCAGGCTTTTGTTCCCCTCCGTACCCCTCTGAACGTTCATTCAGTGCCCATGCTCGCCAGCTGGCTCTGGCTGCTCCCTGTAGGACCCAGAGAAGGCAGCTTGTCAGATGAGGTCCCCCACAGAGGAACTGGGCTTCTCTTAGCTCCCTCGCTTCCTGCCTGCACGCAGCAGGTCTGCCCCCCCTTCCTCTTTCATTTCCTCCCCTAGGGACTGACTTAGACACACTTCCTCTCCTGGCACGCAGGAGGGAGCCAGGCCTTCTCCTTTCCCCTCTCGCTTCCAGTTCCGAGCTGAGAGCCCGCTGGTGGACTGGCTCTTCTCTCCGTGTTTATCAGCTGGACCGGGAGGTCCAGATGGGTCTAGCAGCATGGAGACCAAACCCTGGAGTTTACTGGGAAGACCTGCCCTGGCAGCTCCTGGGAGCTTGGCTAGAAAGGGCAGGCCCTGTGAGGCCTCCCTGGAAACGATCTGAGAGAAGAGGAAGGAACGTGGTGTGATCTGAGGGAAAACCCAGTGTAGAGCCCCGAATGCAATCTCACTGGGGAAAATGGGACTTGAATATCACAAGGTGACAGGATGTCATCGTACAGAGGTTGCCCATAGCACAGGGGCCTGGGACTGAGGCAGGAAACCTAGTAATAAACAATCTCTGAACCAGGTTGATCTCTGCTAACAACTGCAGATGAGACCCTGGTGACACAGTGGGTGGGGTCGATGGGCAACACCCCAGACAGGTCAGCAGTGCCCCTGAAGCTTACCCCTGTCTGGGGGGGCTGTACCTTGGGGCTTCTCCATCTGAATGTGCACGTGATCTGCTTGGAGAGCTTGTTAGATGGAGGTGCTGATGCAGTTCTGTGGCAGAGCCGGGATTCTGCATCTCCGACTCACTCCCAGGTGATGCTGATGCTGCTGTGCTGTGGCCCGTTGGCGGCGGGGCTGTGGGCACAGGACCTGAGCAGCAGCGTGGTCTTCATGGTACTAAGCCAGTCCTTGGCTAGCCTGGCACTTCCAGGTAAACCTAAATAGGATCATATAGCTGGAGCTGAGTGTCAACGAGTCAAATGAGCAGTGTCTAGTGTTTGGCTTGTGTCTTAATACACAAGAGTAAAATCTGTTCAACTACTACACAGTAGAACATGTATGCGTACATTTCATATACTATCATAAAAACAGTGACTTTAAATCAGTCATTGCTAAAGACTCTGAAGGCTCCAGTTACTTTAAGTCTAGAAATCCCAGTTCTATCTTAGAAATGCACTGGGGAAGAAAACCCTTTCAGAGTAAACCTGAGACTTTTTGCTACTTATGCTACCGAAGCAATCTTAACTATTTAGATTCTTAATCAAATCTAATATATATATGTGTGTATATATATATACACACACACATATATATATATATATATTAATCCTCACCTGAGGATATTTTTTCCATTGATATTTTAGAGAGAGTGGGAGGGGGGGTAGAGAGAGAGAGAGAAACATCAATGTGAGAGAGACACATCGATTGATTGCCTCCTGCCCTGACTCAGGCTGGAGATCAAACCTACAACCCAGGTACATGACCTTGACTGGGAATCAACTCCAAGACCCTTCCGTCCAGGGCCCAAATCTAATATTTATTTTAAGTTTATGTACTGAAAATTTGCAGCTTTGGCATTTCATTTTTGAGGCTGTCTAGTGTGTGAACCAGGTTCCTCTCTGGGAACCAGGTTCCCCTTGTGTTGTGGAGGAAGTCAGAGCTCCCTCCTCTACTGTGTGAGCCAAGAAAGGCAGGTCACCTCCTGCTGGCTTCTGGGAGGTAAGACAGAGATGCCAGTCAGACACCCTGATTCTGGATTGTAACTTGGGGCAAGTTTACAAAGAGACAAGGACAGATGAACAGGAAGTGGAGGAATGCCACGTCCGTGTCTGTCATGGCAGATTTGGTGGACGTGCATGCTGACCATCACACCACAGTGCTAATGGCCTAATCCACTGCCTGGACCAGGTGCTTCTTGACGCGTGACTTTGGCCATGTTCTGGCTACCTGGTGCCTCAGGCTGTGCTCATTTTCTGAACCTGGTTTTCCAGGCATGCCTCCAGTTCGTGAAACGCCTCATTTCTTCTCAAATAAAGCCAGTTGCTGTTGGCCGATTAGATTTGGTTTCAGTTGCTTTCTGTGCACTGGGCTTCTCTCCTTAAAGACTCCCATTATAGGTATAAAAGACACCTATGAATTTCCTCACTTTTCCCACCACTGACAGCAGATTCAGGAACGTCTGGGACTTCTGATAATTTTCAGAAAAATGACATTATAGCCAGTCCCCCTGCCCCTTCTCTCTCTTCTTGCTCCTTCCTTTCTCCATATATCTATTTGACTCATCATTTCTTATTTTATTCCTTGAGTTATAATCTTTTATTACTATTTATTCTAATGTATGAGTTGTCTCAGAGTTGGCTGATGGAAGCCCCTTTAAGCTGCTGCTTCTTGTGTCCTGTTGACATGTCCCCATAATGTTTTGAGCCCATCCTTACTTTCTGATACAACAAGAAATCTTAGGTTCATATTTCATGATCCTTGGTTGGGATTCCAACCACTAGTGTGGCTCAGTGGATGAGTGTTGACCTGTGAACCAAGAGGTCCCCGGTTTGATTCCCCGTCAGGGCAGATGCCCAGGTTGTGGGCTTGGTCCCCAGTAGGGGGTGTACAGGAGGCAGCCGATTGATGTCTCTCTCTCATCAATGTTTCTATCTCTCTCCTTCTCCCTTCCTCGCTCTGTAAAGTAAATAAAAATATATATATATATTTTTTTAAAAACACAGGTTATAGTAATGCACATTCTACATCTCATGGCCTGGGTGATGTCTGAGGGGGGCTGTGGGATTGTGTCAGAGTTGGGAGGAGGGTGTGTCATTAGGGCCCTGAGAGATGGAGGACCTCTGAGGGGACCAAAGGAGGAAAGATGCCCACAAGAAGGGCAAGTCACCTGTCCACAGTGAAGAAGTGGTTGATATGCTGAGATATCAGATATGACGATGTAGACACCAAGAAGACAATCCTTGAAGCTGGTACATCATCCACCATGATAAGGGGCATTCCGGGGCCTGAAGTCTCCTTGCCCCGTAACTCCTGCTGGGTTTAGGAGTTTGCGGAGAATTGCCGTTAGGCTTAGGTCTGCATTCGCCACTGGACCGCAATGACCACCAGAGGGAGCATTCACCCCTGATGATCAGCCTTCTAGCTTCTGGAAAGGACATATCTTGACATCAACTTGAGCATGAATTGAGCAGAAATTTATAGATAAAATAAATAGTGAGCAAAGTGTGTAGCTAACAAAAAGTTAGAAATTATAAAGATAAATAATTTTAGGGAAAGCAGGAGAAAGGAAATAATAAGGGTGATGAAATAAATGATAATAGAATGCATACGGTTCACACACACTGGTTCTTCAATCAAATTATTGGCAAACCTCATCAAGGAAAAAGAAAATATGTACAGAAAAACAAAGCCAGAGTGACACTAAGAGAGAATATTGAGCCTGGCCGGCATGGCTCAGCGGTTGAGCATCAACCTATGATCCAGGAGATTGCCGGTTCGATTCCCGGTCAGGGCACATGCCGGGATTTCGGGCTCGATCCCCAGTAGGGGGCATGCAGGAGGCAGCGGATCAATGACTCATCACTGATGGTTCTGTCTCCCTCTCCCCTCTCTCTTCCTCTCTCTGAAATCAATAGAGATATTTAAAAAAAAAAAAAAAAAAAGACAGAATATTGAGAGGTTACCAATCACAGCCTGTTTTCTAATGAATAAAATATTAAGTGAAATTTTTTTCTGGGAAAATATCAGTTTCCCAGGCTGACTAAAAAAGGACAGTTCTGGGAAGATGGTGATTTGAAACACATCCTTGACTTCCTGCATCTCCAGTTCCATCTTTTCTGAGATTTCTTGGAGAGAGTGTACATGTGGGTGTTCATCTTGACAGCATCAGGGGCTGTGATGGCAATCAAGGCTTGTCTACTGCTGTGTAACAAAGCACTCCATAACTTTGTTACTTAAAACAGTGGTCATTTCATTTGCTTATGATTCTGCAATCTGGGCTGGGCCAGCTGGGCAGTTCTCTTGATCTTACCACTGGTTAACAGATTTGCTGGGGGCTAGGCTCAGCTGGGAGGCTGGGATGACCTCTATCTTTCTCCACCAGTTCTAAGACCTTCCTCTCTCCATGTGGCCTCTTCGCTTACATACTCAAGCATCCTCTGTTGCAGTTCAGAGCTCTCCAAAGCACAGAAGCAGAAGCTGCCAGGTCTTCTTGAAGTTAAGCCCAGAACTGGTGCAACGTCACTTCCTCCAATTTAATTGGTTAAAGCTTTTATGAGGTCCTCCCAGATTCAAGCAGAGAGAACCAAATGAGGGTGTGAATCCTCAGAGCATGGTTCTTTGGGAGACACCTGTGTAACTGACAGCCACTGCCATTCTGGGGACTGTGAAGGCTGCACATTCTGCAACGTGGCTTGGTCAGTAGAAGTCTGTGAATCTCCCCGGAAATGAAATACAGGTATGCCTTTGGGAGCCCTTCTTATCTTGATAATCATGGAAGAAGAGGGGACTTAACATTGAGCTGGATTGTGTGCAGTCCTCCTGGCTGGATAAAAGCTGTGGTTTGAACTTGGGAGCTGGGAAGCTTCTTTTTCAAGCCCCAACATAGGGGGTGATGATCTGCCAGTTTGTATCCTGCACGTTTTTGAGTTAGAGGTGATAGAGACCAAGCGGAGGAGATTGTCTGAAACACAGTGAACACCACACACACAC